TGCCAAACTCCTTTTTAATTCTCTTGATTTTGGAAGAAGCTTTGGATGAGTAGGTGTCCACAAACTTTTGGCCATATATTGAACCTCCTGAACTTCCCAGCTGCGTGCATGAGCAGAACTGGAGCCTCTCTGTGTCCAGTGATATTAGAGCTTATGTCCAGTCTTACCACAACAGTTCCATCATTTGACTTGCTCAGTGATTTAATCCTACTGGACAACTACACCAACATTCTGGTTATTGTGGATAGATTTACAAAATAACGTCAACTAATCCCTCTGACATTTCTCTCTGCAGCCTTCCAGACCACAGAGGACCTGTCTTCCTATTGTTTAGCTTTCCAGCCACAGCCAGACTGATGCTCCTGTAATGGATGTTTGGGTCCAGCGTAGTGACCAAGCCTCCACCCTCTTTCATGTCCACCTCCAGAGGGCAGTTTTCCATCGGAAGGTCGATGAGCAGCACTGTTAGCCCCTGAATACTAACAACCAGGATATTGACCTGAGATCTGAACCTGGCATGTCATAAACTCAGTTCCAGGTATGTGGGGCTCTTCAACATCCTCGGGACAATTAGTCTAAAAAACTAGAAATAATTGTATATCACGCAAAATTTGGGTCTCCTTTCCTGGTCTACTGGAAGAGAGGATCCCTTTTGTAAACCCACCAACTCCTATGGATACTGAGGGTCCTCTGGTTTATATTGTCAACTCCTTTGACTCTTGAAGGCACAGAGGTTACATCCAGTATCTTGTGGCCTGGAAAAGACAATGCTTAGAGGAGCGGTCTAGAGTACTGCTCAGTCTTCATGTCCCATGTATGTATTCTACTGGATTCTGGGTATCTTCCCTGTTTTTATTTTATTTTTTTTTCTTGTCTTTGCTTGCATAAACATACATTAGTAAATTCTCATATGACATATGTTCCTGCAGTTTTATACTATATTATACCGTATGTCATTCTCTGAATGTCCACTGCCTGTGTGGATAAAAGAGTCTGCTAGTGAGTTAAAGGGCAGTAGCCATTGGATTACATCAGTGTAATCTCTCAATAGTATCTGTTCCTATCCTCTCAGCTCCGATCCTCTTCCATTGATCAGAGGAAAAAAACCTGTAGTCCCTGACATTTGAGTCCCTCTATTGATCACTTCCTCTTTTATACAGACGGGGGGAAATGAAGCAATTTCACAGGAGTTTCAGGCCAACTTCTGCTGCATATCTCTCATCTGAGAACAGCGGGCCCATTACACTGTCTGGCATCTCTGGGAATGCTCCAAAAAACAGCCAAATATGGATACATTATGTATTCAGAAAATTGTAGCATTATTATTTTGAAAAAGATACAAACACATTTCTGATAAATGATGCATTTTTTTATAGTGTTTTATTCTAAATATTTGCAGCTTGTCTGCAAAAAATGATATATGCCCTCAATGCAGATGATCAGCTCAGGCTGCATCAAAGACACTGTGGAATCTCGCTGAAACATACATGTGCCAGAGCCTATGACATAATCCTTGGCATTGAAGACATGTTCATGTTACGAGGACAATTAAGTAGAATGGAAAGTTTGCAGTGATCCACGCTGCACCTTCCCCAAGCAGTAAAGTTATAATTAGGGTGGATGGTTTCCATTCACTGCATGACCTTTCCTCTTCTAACCCAGCCCAACGGCTGGCCTCAGCTTGAGTGCGACTGGAGGCGGCCTTCTCCTGAGCTGAGACGCAGCTACCCAGAGACGGGCTGAGTTTAAGAGAGATGGACACAGCTCTCTGTGTTTTGTTCTCGTCTCCTTGAAAAGCCTGATTGATTTCGCGCTCACGTAGCGTAGGCAGGGAGACAGACGCCTGACCTTGCGTTGAGGAGAGATACCAAATGCAGACCAAGATGCCTTTCACGTCTTCATATTCATTTGCAAAATGTATTGACTTATTTTGATAGTGTTTGGAAATGGTAGGTGAAGGTGAGAGTGTGGGTGCATAGGGGGCTGGGTTAGTACTGACATGGAGCTTAAGAGCTTCATGTGTTAAATGCTAAGTGGTACGTGTTACTGGTCACATTCATAACTAATAAAGGGTACGCCGAGGACACCTCATAAGTGAAGACACACTGAAGGAGGACATAGGTATATGCAACCAGAATGAAGTGAGGACGGGGGATATGACCTTTTCTAAATAGTGTAGGACCAGAGGAAAATTAGAGAGGTCTGCTGTGTTCCACACTGCAATGTTCTCTGGCACGGCACCTTGTGTCAAATAAATCACCCACTTAAAACGCTTCTATTAGCTCATGTGGTAATGTCTGACACATTTAGACATCCAAGTCCAGTGGGTAATAAACTATTCTGAGCAATGTTTGGGGTGCATTAATAGTGTATTCTTATGAAGAAATAATTTGCATGTGAAAAATCTAATCTAAACAACAGGACCCATATAGGTGAGTCAGTGATTTATAAGCTCATGCATGATCATATCCTTGTTCACTTTTCAGATTCAAACACATATTATTATACACAAAGTAAAACTAACAGTATTTAAAAAAAACACATATTGCTACTGGCAGCATACAGCTACTTCCTATAGTGTTTAGGTACTGTCAATTGACTTCTGGAGTTTATTACTTCAGAACTAATTACAGTTTAATAAGTCACTAATACAAAAAAAACACTAAACAAGTTTTAAGTAAGTTAGTTTACATACTATTTTGTAAAGTAAAGATTGTGATTAGATGTGAGATTAATGGCGTTTTGGTAGCCAAAAACAGTCTACCTTGAAAGGTTTTATTTTCCAACATTAAAAACCAAATGCAGATAAATTTTCACAGAAGAGAATTCAAACTTTTTTTGCAGTCAAAATATCATGAATAAAAACACACATTGACGTATTAAAACTTTTTTCTAATTAAAGATGGCTAAATCTGCACTTCAGAATATGGAAAACATCTTGAAGTTTTAATGACTTACTAAACTTTTTTCTAGCTGTTAATTAATAAACCAAGATAAAACAATATATTTGACACTACCTAGTGCCCATAGGAATAAAATGCTGCCAATAATACACCAATATGATTTGAATGTAGGTGATACTTCATGCATAACAAGGTCTTAACAAAGCGTTGGTTGTGCATTATTACGATTTTCTTAGAACAGTCCTCTAATTATGTACTGACACAGGTCATAATGAATAAAGCTTAATGCACAGCGAATAAATAAGTCAGAAGTGTTCATTAAAATGAACGGTTATTAAAATAACTTATAACTAACAACTAAACAAAAATAATATTTTATAATATTTTAGAAAAAAATTAATGTGCAAGGACAAAAAATACATTTTCTGTTACATCCAAAATGTTTCACAATCTAGGAATTATTGAAATTCTTTGTGATTTGCTCTCAGTGGACCTACAGTGTTGAGCTTGCCTTCTCTTTGTCCTGTCTTTACTGCCCACATGCTGTGATTTGCAGTACATGACTATGGCAGTGTAGTGGAGTGGCCTCTACTCTCTTGTTTAAGCTAAGCTTCATTTTTGCCCTGACACTGGTGATTCATTTATGACCATCTCTCCCTATTTTCTAGTCTCTTATTCCTCTAGATAATATATTTCCATTAATTTTTCATCAGCTAGTAATGCGATTACTCCCTCATTCTCCCTCTCTCTCGCTCGCCCTCCCTCTATCTCAACATGCAGTTGAGAGATTCCGTTACCTCACTTAGCTCCATATAGATTGCTCTCTGCTGCTTTGAGGAAGAGCCTTTTAGAGACACTAAATGGATGGATTGGGTGTACTATAGACCACTACAGATATTCTGTTCACCTGTTCTAAATGTATGCATGTAGCACTTCCTATATATAGATTGCTCCATGTTACTGTTTTGTGGAGCGCATTCTGAAACATTCTTTTTCTCGCATCTCGCTACGGCATAAAAAGCAGAACATAAATACACGCATATGTAAAAAGCATTACTGAACCGGAATTTGATCACATCGTTAATGACGACTTTTGAGTTTTGTTCGAAAGAGTGTTGTGAATGTTACTTCTAAAAAAAATTCCCATCACTGGCAAAGCAAGGGCCAAAGGAAGAGCTAGCAAACACAGCCCTCCATAGAGCTCAAACAGAGCAGGAGAGATAGAAACCCATCCAAGAGAAGAAAAAAAAATCCATGGCCAGCATGTTTAATTGTCACTGAATTCCCAGCTGGCGTGACTTTAAAAAAGCATCCACAGGAAGGGAGCTGAGATGTTCGGAAAACATTTAGCGGATCAATATGCCGGGGAGAGCTGAGAGCGGCTGGAGTGTGTGCTCAGGGACCGCGCCGAAGCCTTTCCAGTCGGAATACTGTTACACTTCTATTAGTCAGATGCAGGGATCGACCTATTCAGCATATTTCTGTCCCTCTGCCCAACAGGCGCATTATTTACTGCTCCGTGGCTGGGACATGGGGGTGGACAGCCGGGCCATGCCAACAGCCCCTCAAGCTCCGCTCTGGCCTGGCATCGTCCCACTGGTACGCCAGCCAGCCATGTTTATGACACCAACATCAGATGTGTGTCTCTAACAAATACAGGCCTTCATCTGCTGCACACATGCACTACTGCTGCGCTGCTGTGTGACTGTCCTGTGCTTGGGCTTTGAGGACCACAGCATTCGGTTGCAAATAACTCTCAAGACAGCTGATTGTTTTAAAAGTACAGCTGTACATTATTAAGTGAAAATTAGATCTAATAAAAGGCTTTTACCACTGGAGGGTTGGTAAAGCTGTGAAAGGAGGAACCTTAAGCTGCACGCAATGTCAAGTTCCAGAAATAGGATCCCCAGTATTAAGCATTACTCTGTTATTAGCATGTTGGGATCCTAGTCATGTGCTACATTGGCCAGTCACGTTTGACATGTTATGCTGAAGGTCTTATGGCAGAATATTTACAGCCCGCACTGATGCTGAATTAGTCAACTAAACAGTCTGGCAAACAGCAGTGAGGATAGAGACGTGTGAGGAGCTCCTTACCTTCCTTCAGCATGCCCACTTTCAGACACTTCATGAAGCGGCAGGCTTGACAAGACTTGCGTCTCCGCTTCGTGATCTCACACTCGTTGGTGGCCGGACAGCTGTACTCTATGTTACCTAGACAGAAGACAGGATCGAGAGGATCAGAACTACTTTCTTCCTTTCACTACTAGAGATCACACGACCATGAAAAATGTTTTAATGTATTTATTTATATTTTTTAATGTACAGCTTTATATTATATTATATAGAATATAATATATGTATATTTGTATGTGATTTGTAGTCAATATATGTCTAATATTTCTCATTTAGAGACGGTAGTAACAATAAGATTATTTATCTTATTTCTAACAATTTGTTATTTGTTTCAAGTCACTTTTGCAATTAAATTATCTTGTTCTATTGGTAGGTAACTGAGCTTGTTTTAAACTCATTCTTTTTTAAAATAAGTGAAATTATCTGCATTATTTCTCAAAACAAGTACAATTACCTGCCAACAGAATAAGACAATTTAACTACGTAAAATTAGTTAAAACAAGTAAAAAACATCTAGTAATATTCATACAGTCCCATAATGAGAACTATATGATATTGACTAGATTTAAGATGATCTCATTTGCCAAGATATAAATTTTGCTGTCTTTCAGGCTGTCTACCCATCTTTTTACACACTCATTATACACTAAATTGATTTTGGTCATACAGGATGGTGATAATCAAGCACAGTGGATGAGTAGACAGTTGAGCAAACTGGCCTAATTTTTGTAGTATCTCTGCAGACTGCATCTAAAAGCCATGTCTCTAAATTGGTCTCTTAAGCTGCGAGCATCCCCAAGATCAGCGGCATCCCTCGGCATTCCCCAATCCCCTCTACCCTGGCCAGCACGCACCAGCCAGCCACTTCACATTATGCCCCGCCAAACCTGAACCACCCTGCACAGCCCTTCACTATTTACATACAGTGCGACTAAGGCACTGATACATTATTCAAGTCAAGCACTTCAGCGCTTGATTCCAGTGAATAGGAGTTTCATTGGAACACAATAAAAGAGCTGTTTCTGCTGTACTGTGCGACTAACAATAGGAAGAGTGCTTGATATACGATCCCATTCTGCTTGTGTCCATGTAGGTACATTTAACTATAGGGAGGCATTTCAATTAGAATGTGTATGGGTAATGGCAAGGAGGAGCACTGAATGCAGAATGACAGTCCACTATAAATGGGGAATGATGAGAAGGCACACCTACAATACTAGACAGCCCTCGCTCTCATGCACGGGCATGTTTTGAATATCTATACCTGGGCTTCTCTGTCTGAATTCATATGGGCTTGTGTTGCTATTGTGTACAGCATGTGGTCATCAGTCCACAAGTCCGAGATCTTTCTGAGCGACTGGCCTGAAGTTGAATGCAACGATACACTTACAATCTGCATATTCAAAATAGTGGAGTAAATATCACTGCAATTAGATACCATCCTGTACAAAAAATGCATTGTATGCATTATCATTTACTAAACCTACGCTCAGACATTACTCAATATGCTGCTCGGATTTCTGAAATAAATACGTAAGAGGTAACATGATATATTCAGTTGATAGCTCTACATTTACATTCCATTCCTTTGACCCTGGCTCTGTTTTTTGCAGAGCAGGAATCGCATTCGCAGTACTCCTCCATCCTCATCCCTCAATCTCCCATTCCCAACTTGGGCAATTATGTTAACATTATTGCACAGATCAAGTAGAGGGTCCCTAGATGTATTAAATAATTAGAAATTCCGCCTTTTATCTGGGTTATACAAATCAGTATGCAAATTCCACAGATCTCTTTGGGTTTGGGGTAAATAAAGGTGTGAAAATGAATGTGATGAAGTCGGATTGCTCCTCTTCCTGTTTTCCCTTTTGTTGATATGAAAAACAAAACAGTTATAATCGAATATATCTCCTATGTGCTTATGAGTAAAGGAGGAGCCAGAGATATTCATTCATTCATTCATTCATTCATTTATTTATTTATTTATTTATTTACATTCCAAGGATTGGCTTTTGAGTCTGTTTTATCCAGGATGCTTATACAGAGATAAAATATATATGGGGTCGCAGACTTACTTCACCAGTAAAGTCAAGGGTCTGTGGCCACTTACTGAAAACTTAAGTTTAAAGCTTAATGTATATTTTCAGATCTGTAAATTTCAATTTTGCAACTTTAAAATTCAATTAATTTCTTAAATTTACTCTTAAATATGCCCCAGAAGCCATTTTAAACAGATTGCTTAATGTAAAGGAAATTTTAAAGAGTAACGTCACCCATTTTTCAAAATTTCTGCATAAGTCAGTGTTAAACTTTTGAGGCATTAAACTCTTCAAAAATCTGGTTCCTATCACCCCCACTGTGAAAAATTCTGATTCAGTAAGTTTCCACAGAACAGCATATTTCACATCAAACCACTGTGAATGACTGTTTACATCTCAATTTAATTATGCAGAAATTTTGAAAAATGGGTGAAATTCCCCTTTAAGGCCAAAACTCACTTAAGATGGTTTATGCAGGTGACCACAGTTCTCAATCTTCAGTGGCCTTCGAGCCTCCTTTTTTTTTCTGGCAATTGACCCAGATGTGGTGTTCAGGGATGTCTGAAATATTGTATTTTTCTATTCTTTCTGTGTCTGATGGTTATTATAGGACGGCTCTTAGATTGTGCTGTTGGTAAATGTAGCTGGTATCCTGGCTGTGTAACTGGCACACTCTGTCAGCAAAAGAGCAGACCCTGCAGGTCCCGCAGGACGCTCATGTTTACCGTCCGCCCGTAGGGGGTAGGGACGGGGTACATGTGCACCCGTTACACCTGTGGGCTCACCAGCAGCAGCCGGGCAGGCACACACAAATGCATGTATACTAGTGCACTGGGCATGAATACATACACTCACATTCACAAACAACTGAGCTCAAAAACAGACACGGCTCCTGGAAATGGCTTCTACGATGGAGAAAAGACTAATCCACCGCAGGAGACATACGAAAAGACTGGTTTTTAGTATCCAGTCTTTTTTCTTCTAGCTAAAAATGTTAATACAGCTGACTGTTCAAACCATAGCACTTTCGGTTGATCTGGTTCAACATTAAAGGTTACTTTATTAAACATAAAAAAGAATTGGAGTGGAAAACACACATAAAGCAAAGAGTTTTATCTTCTCAATATTTATCTGTCTCAATTTCTTTTATGGCTTTTCAGGACCTGTGCCAGGGCATGGTTTGGGGCAGACTCGGGGCGAGTAAGTAAATTACAGTAAAATGGCAGGTATTTCTCATCAAAATCTAAACTGACTTTTACAGGCTTACTGTCAAGCTCTATTACTCCATAGGAGAAAGAGAGGGCCAGTCTATATGGTTTAGGTTTCATACAATTCCACACTTGTGTTCTAAATGACAGGAAAATAGGGCTCTGCAGGAGATGTATGGGGTTTGATTGGTGGTGCACGCGAGGTGTTTGGGGCAATGGGGGGATGAAGATGGTGGTGGTCTGGGATGGATGGTGATCAGACCTGACGTTAATTTGGGGCTTGGCTTTGACTGATGTAACTATCTCCATGTGCAAGTTCAAAAGGGCTTTACAGTGGATGAATAGGTGACAGGAGATGGATTTGCCGTCCACCTCTGTGTTGAAAAGGTAAGGCCAGTGGGGTCTTTGTCTGTAGGGAGGTGGAGGGTAGGGGGGAACTGAACCGAAAAAGAAAGCTAAATGAAGCTAGGATGGAGGGGGGAAGAGGGGAATAAAGAATAAAGAGAAATTTCTGCTGCACTCTCCATTTATGACCAGGGCAACGTTCTCTCAATTCTACAACACTTTCTAAGATATAGAAAATATCAATAATTAGACAGAAATACTGCAACTCTTATTACTAGCTGATATTTTCTTTGACCTTTTTTGGCTCAGGCTGCCAGCAGTAGAGCTACACTGCTCTGAATCATGGGCACAGTGACAGAAAGTCATGGCTCAGTTGCGGAAGGTGTGGAAAGAGATAAAGCTTATGAAATATGGAACAATAAAAAGTTTAGTGTTGGTTTAGATATACAACATGCATCAATGCCTTTCAATAGCTGAAAACCCAGTGATGTTTGGAGAAAAAAAAGGCATACAGAATTATATACTGAATATTTTCAATATTTTTTTTAAGTCTGGCTTCTTGAGCATTTAAATGCCTGCAGTTCACCTACTATTCATCGGGAGGCTTTAGATCACTCTCTTTTAACAATGTTGTCTGGGTGATAAAGAGGCAAAAGCAGCGTGTGCAGCTGTGACAACTCATTTTTCAATAAGACGCGTGAATGGGGAGAAGGTATTACATGTTTGGCAGTAAAAAAGCCATTTTGCAGTGGCGTTAAGGCTGAATGGAACTGATTAAAATGACGAGGCAAATTAAACGCCACCTCTCCTGCTTTGTCCTCATTAAAGGGACGCCGGCTCACACTTACAACCCTCGTCAGCCTCGTTATTTACTTAATTAATCACGTCTAATTCACATCACTTATCCTGTTTTTCCTTCAAGAGCTCTTTGTCTGCCCATTCTCTTTCCCACTCATCCTCCCAGCCTCTTTGTTTTTTTTGTTTTTTTTTGTAACTTTCTTCTCCCCCCAAAATCCTCCCATGTTCAGCCGGGGACCCGCGTCTGCTTATTATGCCATTAGCCCGCCTCTCTCCCACTCTTTCAAAAGAGCAGACGGGTCCCTCTCCAATCTAAAGAAAGTCCGCAGGTTTTTTCTCTTTCCTCTTTTTTTCATCCCTTCTTCCTTCCCTTCGCCGAAATTACCCAGCGACGCGTGCCTGCGTTTCTAATTGCGGCGGTCGTCCCCGGAGACAGCCCCCTCCCCTTGGCCTAATGAAAAGCCTCGGCCTTAATTACTCCTTCTGAACGCTGATTGTTATTGACAAAACTCCTGTGGCTCGGACAAACGGCACAAGATTAGGTCCATTACAGGCAGCCCTCCAAGAGGAAGAAAAGAGCAAAAGAGAGGGAGAGATAGAGGGAAATTTCAACCTGACAACGCACGCAAAGAGGAAAGGAATAAAGGGGGAGGTCTTTGACATTCTCTTTTCTTTTTTCTTCCATGTAACTCTCCTCGTCTTAATTGTTTAGGCCATCACTCCACTTAAGATGGCTCGTTCTTTTCAAGAGTCCTTTTTTTGTCTCTCCATTGTAATGGCTTTTGTGCTCCTCTCAGTGGTTTTAAGCATGGGGTTAAAAGACTGCGTCTAAATATGTGACTTGAGGGAAAATGCTCATCTTTTGTCAACAGAGGAGACTGCTGGCGGAGGTGAGTGTAAATAGCGGGGTTTGGACAAAAGCAATTGTTTGTCTGCAAAAAGGTACATAGACTGTTTAAAGCCGATAGGACCACCGGGCCAATATCAACAGCCCTGACAGAGCAGTATTCAAACACCTGAGTACCACGAGACTGAAAACTGAGTAAAAGAACTTTTTTTGGCCTTTTGTGAATGTACACTGACACTATCCCACTGCGGTATTTAGTATGTTGAAGCACAGCTCACATCTGCTTATGTGCTAAGGACAGTCAGTCCTTGAGATATGCATTAGTGTTAGCATGTTGTTAAAAGTTTACAATGGCAGAGCAGTGGGATCAGGTCATAATTGCTGGTGGTCACCCTTCCTTTCTTTTTCCTCACTCTCTTTCTCTGTTACTCTCTCACATACCCATACACAGGCACATACACACACCTGTGTGACTCCATCTGATTAATATCTGGGTCATCACATACTGACTGTTCTGCCTGTGCCAATCCAATGTGACCCTGTTGTACGTGCACTGTCTGTACCAGCCAGCAGCACAGTACAAACACTCACAATCACTATAGACCTCTGAAGTTGGGCATCATTTCCATATTAGGGTCTAAGCTGATTTCTGTGGGGAAAATGAATGCCGTTTTTTCAAAAATGACACTGCTATCATGCGCGGTGGTAAACAAAAATGCCCCAAACCCAATACGCTTTGCTGTGCGGACATTTTTCCATCCGAATGTCACTGGATCCTCTGAAATATGAGGTAGTTAAGGGGACGAAATACGAATATTGGTACATGCAAGCTAACACTGCTGCAACATCAGAGGACTGACACCTCAGCAAACTGCCCCACTCAAACCAGCAAGCCTTGTCAAATGTGGTAGCTAAGTTGCTTTGAAAGTAGTAGACAACAGTTTGAGCAGCTGATGTCATTATATAATAGGGATTAATTTTAATTTTGTGCAACATCATTTGAACACTTACATGCTTGATTGTAATGTGTATAGCATTTTCTATATTTCAACTACCAAACAACCTCATAATTCAGAAGATCCAGTGACATTCTGAGGAAAAAATGTATGTAAGTCAAAACGTATCTGGTTTGGAACCATTTTGTTTACTACAGAGCGCGATAGTGCTGACTTTCAAAAATATCTTTCATTTCTTCTATAGAAAAATCAACCTGGAGCTCCTAATACAGGCATAACATCTACAGAAATGATGTTATCTTCAGAAATCTATGCACAGATAAACTGGACAAACACTCAACTAAAATCCTTTAGAAAACATTTGAAAAAACTGAATCCACTTAAATTAGATAATCTTTTTAATTGGATCAACTAGTATCTGTCTATAAAAGCCTAAACACAGTTAAGTCTCACCCAGACTGTCAGTACTGCTGGAATTTAGTGCATTTGATCTGAAGCAATATAGGCCAGAAAGCAGCAAATGCTGTCCATCCTGTCCTTCTATTTCTGTCTGGTCAGTGTGGTCATCTGATCATGTGTCAGTGTAACAATATACGCCTTTTAGGCAATCAAATGAATTGATCCCAATGATGATGTCACCACTGGCGCCTAACGGTGCACTGCCCAGTGTGTGTCCACTGTGACTGGATTGCAGTTGGAGTTGGATTATCACCTATTGGTCAGTACAAATTTGGATAGCCTTTCTTCACGTATTGCTCACAGCACATGTTACCATTGCCATTAGAGAACAGCTATGGGGAGGGCAATTTGATGATATATATCATTACCATGAAAAATTACATCACGTTATGTCACATACTTACATATTGTGGATACTGTTAGTACTGTCAGCAGTACTGAGCAACTGCATGGTTCATTACAATGAGAACATAATTAGGCCTGTTCAGTTGAATGTAGCACAGTATGTGAAACATTGAATAAAAAACCATTGTACTCATAGTTAAATGTGTCACTGCTGGGACTTTCTTCTGTTTAAAAAAGCTCAGAAAAATAGAAAGAAAAACTAAATACGGTGATGCACACTGTGTATCACTAAAATGTCTTGAAGCATGACTCTAAGCTTTAAGCATAGGAACTCCACAAGGGTGCTGCCTGAGCCCCCTGTTATACAGCCTGTTCCCTCATGATTATGCAGTCAAACAGCACCACAACAAAATAATTAAGTTTGCAGATGACACCACTGTGACTGGACTCATAAGCAATAATGATGAGTCTGCCTACAAGAGGGAGATACAAGATCTGTCTGTTTAGTGTCACAACAAAAATCTAGCCCTGAATGTCACCAAAACCAAGGAGCTCATTGTGGACTTCCGGAAAAACATAAAGGATGATACTCCCATCAGCACCAATGGTTCGTCTGTTCAAATTGTCAGCAGTTTCTGATTCCTGGGTGTGCAGCTGTCAGACTCACTCTCTTGGTCCCTGAACACCAGCAGCATGCTCAGAAAGGCACAGTAGCGACTGTTCTTCCTCAGGAGACTTTAAAAGCTCAGGGATAAACACATCTGTTATGGTCAACTTTAACCACTGCACTGCAGAGAGTGTTCTGACTGGTTGCATCACGGTGTGGCTTGGCAAACTGACTGCCCAGGATCTCAGTGACCTCCCACAACTTCAGGACATTTGTGCATCCCCATGCTGGGCGAGGGCTCAGTCCATCATCTCAGGTGCCTGCCACCCTGCTCTTGACCTGTTCTTCTGTCTTCCCTCTGGCAAAAGCTTCCGAAACACTGACTGTCTCTATCCCACTTTTATATTTAAATTGTATATATTGCTTCTTTCACCTTTTCTACTTCACTAGCACACTTTCTAGCATAGTCTAGCTAGTAAATTGTATATATCACCTCTCATATATATATTGTACCATATTCTGGAGAATTGTTTATATTCTTGCATTACACTGTATTATTCAATAGTTTACTGTATACTGTATTACTCCACAAGTGGTCGCTTACACTGTATTATTTCTGCACATAGTTCTGCACTATTCTACACCATATATTAACAGTGCAATGTTATCACTGTCATCTACCTCACTCCTTGCTGCCAGTCCCCTGTACCTAATGTACTTGCCTAGTATGTGCATTGTCCTTCTTGTATGTGCAATACCTCCCTCCTCTATTGCCCCCTGCGTACTTCTATTTATACTTTATATTTTTATATGTAGGCACATGCTGCTGTAATATAAGACTTTTAAAAAATGTACTTTTTAACGCCCTGCTTTCTCAATCCATACAATAATAAACTAATGCTGAATCTTTACTATCATGATGTTTTATTTTAGTCACATTACTCACCACTATTGCTACACAACCAGACAAATTAATGCATATTTTTGTATAAGACACACTATAGCCACTGTATTTCCACAGTACAGCCACATACATAGGTTTGTTTTTGTGTCCTGCTGCTAAATCAAGATTACGAAATATTTAAGAAAAACTGCGGTCAGTCTTTCCAATTTGTTCTTGAATATTTTGTCAGACCACATGCCAATTAGTGCAAGTATCCTCCACTGACCACTACACCATCTCTGAATTGAGAACAACATGTACAGAAAGAGGAAATAAAAGACACTGCACAGGGAGTCACAAAACTGGTGTAAATGTAAAACCAACCCCTGAATATCCATGCCATGTTTATCTAAATGTGCTGAGCAAACTGTGCTGGACACAGTGCTGTCCAGGTGGAACTGGCATGGGTTGCTCTCCATACTTAGAATTAAGGGTGAGCTAAACTTGCAAAAATGTAACATCACAATACTTTTACATAATATACATCAATATTTCATTTTTCTGTGGTTTGCTAATGAACAAAACATTGGAGCCATATTTACAAAATATGACAAAAATGATTAAAATATATCGTTATTTCACAAATGAAGTATTTAAAAAAAAAACAGAAAGAAAAAATAAATTGGAAAACTATAAATTCATAAAACAAGCTAATGGCATGATGAACTGACACCCAGTCAGGTACCCTTTACAATGCTGTTTGTGTAGTTACTGTACACTAGTTGTTGTTTACAGGCTCACTATAATTGCTCTAAATCTGCCTTTTATAAAACATGCAGTTCTTCGGTTCTCTAGAAGCACTGACGATACCCATAATACTGCCCGCATATTGCCCCCTACCACTCAGAATCATCTAACCCTACAGTGAAAACAAAGCTAAAGTATCAGTGTGCCAGTACCTTGTATCGTCCTCTTGAAGAAGGCCTTGCAAGCCTCGCAGGAGGCCACGCCATAGTGGTAGCCTGATGCAATGTCTCCGCAGACCAGACACAGGCGTTTGGGGATGGAGTTGAGCATGTATTCACACTTGATGGGGCCTGAATCCTCCAGCAGCGTGCTGGAGCAGTCCTCGTAGCGCTTGCGGCAGGCGCTGCCCGCGGCACCCAGGGGTCCGGCCGGCGTAAACATGGGTGGAGAGTCCAGGCCGTTGGAGTGGCTGTTGATGGCGCTAGCGTAACCGCCACTGGCGTCCGAGTGGGCTCCGGGACTTGGGTGGCTGGCCGTGTCCACCAACGAGGACGGACTGGACGGCTCCGTCTTTATGTACGAGCCACAGCTGGACGGCAGGTGCCGCTCCTCAGCGGCCATCCTGTTCAACAGCCTGAGAAGGAAAGAGAGACAGAGAGAGAGAGAAAGAGAGAGAGAAGGAAGTGAGACTGAGATATATTCAATATGCAAAAGTGATATAATATCAGTGATCTAATATTTGAACAGAACTGCCTAGACCTAAATATGCATAAAGAGGTATACAACATTTTCTAATCTCTCAGCTAAAACACTTTGTCCGGGATGGATTTCACGCCATATTGTGCAAGTGTAAAATGAAACTGCAATATAATTTTTAGATTTCACAGATAGCAGCTTAAATCTGACATATGCAGAGAATATTATCGCTCCATGAGCAAGTTTGTCCGTCTACTTTTTGATAGAATAATCAAAAACGGCCCATATACCACATTTTTTGTATAAGTCGACTTATAATGTTGTGTGGGTTTATACATTAAAATCCTTTTGACATGAATATTTTTAACTTCTCTTTATCAGTTAAAATGAAACAAACTATGCCTTTACTGTGCCTTTAAGACTGATATATGTAAATGAGCTCTGTTCTGATTGGCAGTCCTGTATTGTGCCAGGTTGAAAAGCAATCCAGGCTGAAACACTCCTTATAACTTCAGTGTAAATGGGTGAGGCTAAAATGCTATAGGCTGAATAGGTGGACATATATGTGAAAGTGTTGGATTTTGCAACATCACAGAAACATTCATGAATTCAGAGCAGGTCGTTTTTGCAGGCTATTTTCCATTTATAAACTTTATGTAATGAAAAGTAAACAGTACATTTCAAAACTTTAACGACGTTTACTTAAGACATCCAACCTTATTTCAAATAAGCAAGGAAATCTAATGTTCAATTTTATGGGCCCGGATAAGCGGCATAGAAGATGGATGGATTATATGGGTCTTTTAACACTGACCCAATCATCAAGCTCAGATTCAGGGACAAATGACAATATAGAAACATTATGATAAAATGACCAAATGAAATAAAGTTTTGAAACATACTGAAACTATTCTGTAAGCATGGGGAACATCTACATCATGGAAATTCAAACTGAGACAAAAAAAGACAATAATGTGTGACACATCTGAGCCTTTTCATTAGCAGAGGTGAAGTAGCCCGTAACTTAGAGCCTCTAAGTACAGGCAAATATTAGGTGTTAATAGGTTAACATGCTCCTTTGTTTATTATTTTTGTGAGAGATATGCAAAACAGGCACATTTCAAAAACATAATGATCCATAAGAAGTAAAGTTCTGCTGGGTCGGTGCACGCTGTCGCTGAGAGGAGGACACCCTTTATTATCAGTTAATAAACCTACAGCCGCCAGCCCACCCACAACAATATGTGCTCTAAATGCACTCTCAGAGAGTGGACTCAGGGACATTGGCCATGCCATGTCATGGCTTTTTGAAACGCTGTTAAAGACAAGGAATATCTAAATAAATAATAAGAATATCTGAGTAAGTTTTAACACTGGATTAGATTTACTTTCCTTGCTCTCTACATATACAATAAAGAGCACTCTTAGCAGCTCTGCGGCAGGTTCACTAATCTAATCTGTGTGGGCACAAGAGAGATACTCTTTAGTAACACTTCAACAGCATGTGTGTCTGAATTTAGTCCAAAAAGAGTAAGAGGGAAAAAAAAACAATACTTTACAGACTGTACAAAACCTTGCATCTCCAAAATGGTAATTTTACAGGAGAAGGACAAACATTCTTAAGTTGTAATGGGAGTTATCGGAAGCAACTTTGGGCCATTTCTGTTAGTCCATTCATCATGAAAATTTAACACAGTGTAAAAGGCAGCTGGAATTTCAAATTAAAACGTAAAACAATAAAAAAAAACAACAAAAACTGAGTTTTGTTCTGACAGCAGTTATACATGCCCACTTTATGTGTATTTAGGTGCAGGCGACAGGGGTGATAGGTCAGATGCATTCGCTTACATTAACAAAATTGAGCTCTGCCTAGCTTTATGCAAATCAAGCTGCTGGGGTTACACTTTGAGTGGCAGGCCCACACCCCAAGCATTTTGCTTTAATTAGCATACTGCTAACTAATGGCAAATATTGACATACAGGAGCTTACATGTCACCGCCAGGTTTCCCCATCATCAGCAACGCAAAGAAGCTTTACCTCTCTCTCTCTCTCAGACAATATGAAACATAAAGAAAGTGAAGAGCGGAGAGGGAAAGAGCTAAAACTGAAGAATCTATTAGATGGAAGTGTGACATATATCCCCCTTCTGTCCCTAGGCTGCTTCTCTCTCCCTCTCTGGCTGATTTAATTGTAAGTGTGGGTGACTGTAGGGTTCAGGCCCAGGGGTCACAAGGTCAACCTTATTTTCTCACCCCAGCTTCCTGTGCCCGCGGAGACAGGGTCAACGTGTCAAATTAAATCTCATTGCTTGGTTTCCCTCTCTATCGCCCGCCATGTATATTCATCGCAGCGCCAGCTGCCGCCACCTCTGGAAATTCACAAAAAGGTTAACTGCTAAAATAAATAATAAAAAACGCCCCCTGTTAAAACCGTTGACCTTGTAGAATATGGCCGCACTCAAGGGCTTTTTTCAGGCCAATATAGTAAGACTGGACACATTTACATCAAGAATAAAAATATATTTTTCATTCAAAGTTTTGCACTAGAGTCAGCAACTGTGATACTGTGAAATATTAAAATTCTCTCACAATGAAGCTGAGAAAAAAAATTAACTAAAAAAAAAGAAAGGCAATACAAATCTGAAACCACTTGGATCCTTTTCTTCAAGTGAATGCGAGAACTGGACGTCATTGGCTGGCGGCTTCTGAATACAGATGCATGTGTGTGCACCTTTTCGCACCTTCACTTGACTTATTAAAAGCTATATATTAGAAACGTCAGCATACACGACAGTTCCATTTAGCCTTTATTTCTCAAATTCAGTGAGAGCTTAACCCCAGTTCAAAGGTTACTGTGGAGGTGACACTTAGCATAATTGCATAAGTGTGTTAACTGTTGTCCTCCCAGCACTGTGTTCATATATAATGAATACATGCTTGCGGAATCCCGCCGACCACACTGACGCAGTGCTCTAGAGCTGTGCTCCATACTCAGATTATTTCATTAAAAGCATAAACAAATCTCACACTGCCAACCATTCAAATCAATCAATTTGAAAGTCTTCTATGGGTGGATGGTCAAACAAACTTCAATATTGTTTTCTAAATAAGTTGAGCATGATAGGCCACAGCAATAGAGTTTGATCTGGATCATAATCTTTTAGGAAGTGTTTTCAGTACCATTAACTCAAAGCCATTTCAAACACAAGTTAATGATACTAAAATAACAGTCCAAGAATTGGCCCAGTGCTGTAATCTGTCCTTTTCTTTCTGCTTGCCTGTGTCAGACAGCGCTAGCACAAAGACTTTTTTCTCTGCTTTTTTCCTCACACCTTCTTCTTCTTTTGTTCCCCTGTGCACCCATCAAAATTCATGCTGAGTGTTGCCCACCAAGCATAATGTTCAGTTTGAGTCTAATCTGATTCCTCCTGGCTGTGCTAACAGAATTTCAGCTGCTGTAATATCGTTGTGCGGTGGTGGCAGTGCTGGAGATTAGCTGCTCTAATGATCCTGTGCCCTCGTGCTCCTGCGGGCCACGAGACCAGCGCTCAGTCTCTCGCCCTTCGTGCCACTGCGTTTTACTAACCTCAACTCACCACAACACTTCTCGGGAACAGTGCCATAAGCTTTAAAGGAGGACTGCCCACACCTAGGGCTGAATCCACCTGCTGTTATCATAGCTGTTTTGTTCTTATCTAGAGAAATCAGACAGTTTTTAGCACCAACATAAAGAAATTTGTGAACAAAATTCTGTATACATCTAATGAATGAACGAAAGAGTGTACTTGTGAAAAAGGGTGCAATTGTGAAAAAATGTACTACTTATTACTTATTTACTATTTATTACTTATTTAGACAAACAAATTTCAGTACTTAGCTAAAGAAATTAATATACCAAATTCTGTACTTATCTAAAGAAATTTGCAAACAAAAAGCTCTACCTACCTAAAGAAATGAGTGAACAAAATGTTGCACTGATCTACAGGAATTTCACGATTTAGAGAGAATTCTGTACTTATCTAAAGGCTTCTGCAAACAAAATTTTAGTGACTCATGGGTAAGCATATCCAAATAATGTTCTAATTCAAATTGTTATCTTTGAAAATACTTCTTTCAGACATTTACCATAAACAACAAAGACTTTTTTTGTCATTTTAAAATCGATTGGCTAGGGTACAGTTCACAAAGCCCTTCCTCACTCTCTCTCTCTCTCTCTCTATCTCTTTTCTTCGGTGTCTCTCTCTCACACACACACAGTGAGAGCAGTGCGAGCGGGAAGCCCTTTGCAGACAGGGTGCTATCAGATGGCCCGGTGCGGAGGTGGGGGGATCAGAGAGAGGACCCCAGGCGATGGGGCTGATAAGGGTCTGGCCTGGGAGCAGCCATTGGAGGAGGAACTCAATTAACTCCTGACAGGCACTCACACTCCTCTGGGCTCAGAGGCAACAGTGAAGCCTCGCGGGCAGCTGCCACACTGCCCTCTTCCTCTGGAGGCGGCCAGCAGTGCAAGGAGAGCACAGTGAGGCAGAGCAAACGCACCAGGCAAATTTACTAAACACTGCATGAGAACACTGCTGGGAGAACAGCGGTTATATATCAAAGGTTTTTTTTAACTCTGTGTGAAAATATTAGCTGCACTTTACACTGTATGGATATTTTTTGGGTGGACCAACTGGTCCAAAATCTCTTTACATTAAGGTGCATTAAGAACAATTTATAAAGTTACCATTTTGGAGATACAGGGTTTTGTTTTTCACAGTGAAATAAACGTTATGAGCATTTAACACTTGGTATTTCAGTCTTTATGTCTGCATCTCATCAGTGTGTAGACAATGTCCTGTTTGAACCCAACACAATGCAAATTAAACGGGCCTTTTTTAGACAAAGTGCACTCTCTGGGGGAGGGGGTACTAGCCAGGCCAGTGCATTGAGGACCAC